ACGACGCTCGTAACTGCATAAGGTCATATGAGAGCCAAGGGATAGAAGTCAACAGAGAAATCTTTACAGGGAATCAAGCTTACTCTGCTCCCTTCTCTAGCTTCAACAGCACAAAGTCTGCTTCGACTATCAAAGTATATTTTTTGGGTTATAAATCAAATGAGTCACACCGTCACTTGTCAATTTTTGGTTATATTGTGTTATTAGTGTCATCTTTTAGCTTGTGGTGCATTCGTCTATCATTTGGAGAACAAGATACCCACCTGTTTCGGAAAAACGTCAAGATATGTGCCATTGGAGGAGGTGTGGGTAGCTTACTGTCAGGGGTAAAATTGAGGAGAAAATGGCTGCCAAATTTGGTGACTTCCAAACCTTGGGTGTCCTTGGAGATATGAAATTTACTTTTTGTGTGTGTGTGTGTGCCTTTGATCAACATTTTTCTGTAAAACCCTCACAGAAATGTGTTTTAAATCGACTCAAAAGTTGTTGAGCCCCCCCCCCCCCCCCCAAAAAAAAAAGAAAAAGAAAAGAAAAGAAAATTGGAAAAAATGGCTTATAGCCAATAAAATGCCGGTTTCTTTGATTTCAATATTCTGACTAGCGCCTGATTTCATCACGTTGCATCTCCTTTATTCCTGAATCTACGTGAAAAGATGCTCTAAGGTTATTTCAACAGTTGGAGCAGAGAATTTATGTTATATTTCGTGTATACATGAATGTATGACCACGCCGAGTGGGTGGAAAAGGCCTTGAAGTGTTTGCTCCTTCTTTTGTTCTAATACGTTATCTTCTTGGTGTCGTTTATCCGGAGAGATTACTGGTACATTTACTGATGTATAGTTAACACTAGTTTGATGTGGCAAACGATATAGGCCTAATTTGTACTCGTATCACAGTTGATGACATGAAATGAAATCAGGTGAAAGCGCGTTGATGTCCAGATGACTGCCCAATTACCCCCCCCCCCCACCCTTTGCTCTCCTCTTCTCCTCTCTCTCTCTCTCTCTCTCTCTCTCTCTCTCTCTCTCTCTCTCTCTCTCTCTGTGTGTGTGTCTCTCTCTCTCTCTCTCTCTCTCTCTCTCTCTCTCTCTCTCTCTCTCTCTCTCTCTCCCCCTCTCTCTCACACGCACACATACATACGCACATGCACACAAACACACACACATAAATACAAACACACACATGCACACACACTTACATATTATACATTAGCACCTCCCTTGGCTTCATCGGCGTTATAGTAATATAATATGAGGAGACACTTTCGCCTGTTTACCTCGGAGGCAAGAAAAAAATAAGTCTGCTTTTTTTTGTTCGTTTTTTTGTTGTTGTTGGTTGTTCAAGGATTGGGGGGGGGGGCGACAATGCTATTTACACAGATCGCCTAATATTCTTCCTCATCCACAGCTCTGGAGTTGACCACAAACACATGATACACAGCTCTGGAGTTGACCACAAACACATGATACACAGCTCTGGAGTTGACCACAAACACATGATACACAGGCCTGGAGGTGAGGAAGACAACGCAAGTGGGAGAAACCGACGCCAAAATATTGAGGGTAAATTTTTAAAATAATAATATATTCTGCATAAAGAGATCATAGTTTTTTCTATAAGATACACAGCTACTACCTGAGAACAGAAACAATTATCGGGACCAGAGCAATATTATAATATCTTAGCGAGTCCTTCTAAAATTACCGAAAAGATGGTCATTGTAAAAGACTGTAAACGCTGCTAGGTTGTTTATAGACAGGAACAGGTGATATTTTCAAATATCTAGAGGCTTTTTAAAGATATGCCACATTTCGTAACAAAGGGTGTAAAAACAAAGTTTGGAGAAATCCCATTCTCTAGCATCCAATGACACCCTTGTTCTATTCCAAAAGTGTCTGACAAACCTCCATGCGCCTGGCCTGTGTAGGTAAATACGTTTTCATGACAAATTATTCCCTCACCAACTTTACTGTCCCTGTGCCTTTACTACAAGAACTTTGAGCCACAGTTTTGAGTGTCATGTCCGTGCATTGCTTTCGTCGGCCGCTAGGGCCGCGACTTATTGACGACAGTCTTGTTGTCCCTACATCCTTAAGATATATTGACTAAATAAAATGCAAATTAAAAAATATAAACAAACAGATCTCAATTTTACTCATCTCCTCTTTCTGCCCCCACCCCGTCACCTCCTTTGTCCCCTCCTCTGGGCTCCTGATTCTTTCTACTACTCATTGGCTGTTTCTTACTGCTGTCTTTCAGCCACACCCCTTAACTTCTGGTAGGAAAGATCTACACCTAGCCTTCTCGGACAAGGGCCAAAAATCTCGGAGGTCCCGTGTGCAAGTTGTGCACGTTAAAGATCCCTTGGTGGTCTAAAATCGATAAGAGTAGGCTTCAGCCGCCACCTGGGCAAAATTCAAAATTTCCTACCAACTGAAAAAGTTTAGTGTGTAACACGCGCTCATATGACCGTATGTAGTTGCGAGCGCCGTAAAACACTTACAAAAACAAAAAAAATAACTTTTACTACGGATATGTGTTTTGAAGTGGCGTAAATAGATACGCTATTGTTTTAATACAGAAGAGCATGAATAAAACACACTTTCACACACACGTTGCAAGTCGCCATTGTTGCAGTGAGTGAACTGTTTTGAGTGTGTGGTTGTGTGTGTGTGTGTGTGTGTGTGTGCGCGTGCGTGTGTGTGTGTGCGTGTGCGTGTGCGTGTGTGCGTGTGTGTGCGCGTGTGTGCGTGTGTGTGTGTTTGTGTGTATGTGTGTGTATGTGTGTGTGTGTGTGTGT